GCTACTAGTAGCAAAGGGCATCGCTACTAGGAGCAAGGACGCTACTACCGAGCCGGACCGAGCCAGAGACGCGTGCCGCTGAGGCCCCAGTCCAACAGCCAGCGGCCTGGAAACTCAGGTGCTCTCGTGACAGAGGCTCCGCGGGCCGCCACCGGTGTTGTAAGTGCTCTGATCTCATGGTCTTACCTCTGAGGCGAGGACGATGATGAGGACGAGGACGAGGACAATGAAGCATCATCGGCGGAGGGCTCTCAAGGGACTTCCGAGCCGCCACAACCAGGCGCAGAAGTCCCAGATCTGAAGAACAACCTGCAAAGACTTCTGAAGGATCCTATCATACACTGTATGATACTCTAATAGCGATGGCCTCCAACCCAATAGCCATGGCCTCCAACCTGATAGCGATGGCCTCCAACCAAATAGCGATGTGATGTTCTCTTCAGGTTCGGTAGCAATATGACACATTTGGCCAAGGAAGACCAAACAACCGATTGTATTGCCTTAGAGCCCTGCAGGCATGGACGAGAACAAGCAGACAAGCAAGGAAGATACAGGACTTCCCAGAAGCCTTTTTTCTCACTTTATTGGTAAAAGGATCGCTCTGAAAGATGGTGCCTGTTTGTTTTCCTTTCCTATGCATGACACCCCCGCACCGTCTTTCTTTCTTTTTTTGTAATTCCCCACCTGTCAGGTCAGGGTTGGTAGATTTTATGTCAGCTGTCTGACCTCCTCGTCCTCCTCGTCCTTCTCCTCCTCCTCCTCCGCGTCGTCCTCAACCGCGAGCCTCCGCTGGTAGTGTTTTTTTGATCCTTATTTATACTTTTTTTTGATCCTTCACCCCAGTACGGCCAGGCAGAGTCAGAAGATATGCCAGATAGAATGCCGAGGTAATATGTTCAATACACGCCAGAAAGTTTGTCAGATTGACATGTCATGGTTGGGATCACTCGAAGTAAAGTAAGTTCTTTTTTCTATTTCTTTTCTCTAGATCTGGAGGAAAACTCGACCCAACAAAAATCCAACCTGCTGAAAGTGCACGTTCTCTCTAAGCATAATTTGCCAAGCAAAGGGCGAACGAGGAAACAAACAAATGAACTACAGCATGGCAAGACAAATTGGTTTGTATGAACGACTTTGTTGGAACATTTCATTCATGAAAGGTGCATTATGGATAGACACACCATACTTATGGAATCTTATGGACGGCCTGTCAAAGTACAATGGAGATGACGGTGGGTCGAACTAGGTACGTGGGCTTCAACGTGGAGGTACTAAATGCCATGATTAATCTACAATGAAAAATAGATGTTTTTAAAGCTTCTGTGTCATTTTGTTCACAAGTGGAGTACCGTGAAATACCTTACTCAAGCAACCCCCAGCTAAACAATTGAACACCACGAAACAATGGTTGAACAACAACAACAACAACAACAACAACAACACCCAGACAGAACTGTACATGTACATGCTATAGGTGCCTAAAAAACCTTCTTACCATTCCCCTTTTGGTTTTTGGACGGTCATGTGTTTTTGATTGCTCCTCTCCATCCTCCTCAAAAGGATCTGGCACTGACAGCACTGCGGACACCGCGGACGACACCGCCGACTCCGCGAACGCCGGCATTGACTGTGGAGCTCGGAAGGGAGCGGCCAAAGGCGAGAGCTCGAGAATTTGTTCGATCGGTTGGACTATGTGGAGTATATATATATATATATAATGTACTACATTATAGTGGATTGAGAGTAGATGGCACAGAGCCCAATGTCGGTGGTTTATATGAACCCCCATGTAAAGGACATCTTGAGGTCTGTGCCATCTACTCTGAAACCACTGTACGTGATATTGTATCGTTTATTATTATGTTTGTGTTTTTTTTGTTCATTACTTTGGAATAATGAACAGCATGTCTTGCATCATGCTCCATCCTTTGATAAGCTAGACTCCCTCAACAAACCAATGCCACCCCAAGCCAGCTTTTGCGACTCGCTCCTCGTCGCACGAGTCGTCGCACGAGTCGTCGCACGAGTCGTCGCACGACGAGGCTCCGCTCTGTGGTGCGGTTGCAATGTGAACGCTCAGCCCGTCGGCAGCCAAGAACTCTGCGAGCATCCTGGTGGTGGACGAATCGACGTTTGCCAATGGCAGATCTGGCATGTTGGATTCGCTCCCACCCGACGGATGAACGCTACCAGGTTGGAGGCCATCGCTAGTAGGTTGGAGGCCATCGCTTCTAGTATCTTATAGTATCTTGTAGTAATTGAGTAATTGTAGTAGAAAGCTTACCTATCATGAAGTCTCTGACTTTTTCGGCGCTCGGCAGGTCTTCGGAGAGCTCCTCTTGTGTGCCCAAGTCCGAGAAGTCCTGAGGTTTGGGACCGCAGTGGCTCGTGGTGTTGTGAAACGGCAAGACAGAAGTGTTCCCAGAAAGGACATTGTTTTTCAAGCGCAGGGATCATTTTCTTTACCACTTTCCAAGAGTCCAAGAGCCCCACTTAGAGCTGTGTGACGAAATCACTCCAAAGTGCGGGCTCGTATACAGGGCACAAGCTCGTAGCTGTCGCTAGGTCTGACCTAGCTGGGACACCGGTGATTTTTTGGAAAGGTGTTTTGATGTCGTTTTGGTGGTTTTGCGATCACTGAAGATGAAAGCGAAGACAATCATCCTTCTGCTTCTGCTCAAAGTCGATACTCTGAAATAATCGCTCTAGGTGTTTGGGTCACGTTGGTCTAGGTGTTTCCAAGACATGTGCCTCAACAAGCAGCTGGACCATGCTGGGGTCGTCTATGGTCACTTAGTAATTAGGTTGGAGGCCTCTTAGGCCATCGATAGCTGGATTTCTGGGCTTTGTTTCAGTGGTTTGTTTCAGTGGGAGCTGATTTCTTTCCCCAAGGAGGGTCTCTCTGTCCTGACCATCCCAGGCCCCATGCTGCACGTGGCCGAGCTTCGCCGCGGTGGACAAAAGGGCGATGGCCGAGCTTCGGCGCGGTGTCATCTCGCGTTGCTCGAGATCCGCTTGGGGCTGGCTGCTGGTGTTTGGACTTGCTCCCCGCAACAAGCGACGTGTAGCTGCCGCAACTTCTGCCGCAGTGCACATTGAACCAATCAAGCAGCACCAGCACAGCTATTAGGGGTGGAGGCCATCGCTATTAGGATGGAGGCCATCGCTATTAACATGACAATGATAACGGACTTTCGATTCACCAAGCAGATCTGGGGCGTCGCTCCAGGATCCCGTCTCGCCTGTCGTGGCCCGTCTCGAGCGGGTTCACTGCACCTGCAGCACAGCTTGGGCAGCAAGTCCTTGATCGGATTGACCCTCCACTTTCTAGAGTCTATGCCTTTCTGCATTGAAGGTGATAGTCCACAAACAGACATGCCTTCTGGAGAAATCAACAGAGCAACGGCAGCTTCAGGAGCATGTGGCCATAACCTACGGAGACGAAGGTGTAAGGCCAGGAGCCCCTAGTAACCTAGTAGCGTCCTTGCTCCTAGTAGCGATGCACTTGTTACTACTAGTAAGGCACTTGTTACTAGTAGCGATGCCCTTTGCTACTTGTTATCAGCTTTCTTCAGACGGCATCTCGCCATGGCGGGCAGGCCGACGGTGAACGGCTCGTTAGCGACCGAGCTTCCCGAGCGATGGCCACCAGCGGCCTCCAACGAGCTAGTAGCGAACCTTGTTCCTAGTAATGCCAGGAGCTACGTTCGTAGCCTCTAGTTATTACAGTAGCCCTCAAAAAAAGTATCAACATGCTATCCGTGTGTGGAGGGCCTGAATGGCAGGGAAGCCAGTTCAATAGGCCGCTTTTCTCCTCAGGCGGATAGATTTGGATGTACCACTCCTTTTTCCGAAAACAATGCATCTTTGTATACTTGTGTAACGGCTAAAGATGTTTGGTCAGAAGCTGCCAACTCAAGAGGTACAAGTTACAAGTTTGCAATTACCTCGGCCAGTGTAGATCTCGGAGGGCGCCGAATCATTAAAAATTCATGTACATGTTTCTTCTCAACCCTATGGCTTCCCCAGTGCCCAGTCGACCAATATTTGTTGAGAAGATACACAACCGACTAGATCCCTCCAAAAGTTTTTTTGGCGCCCAGCGAGTAGATCCAAACTCAGGTGTTCGCGGTTGATTCGTTTGTTCCTTTTGCGAGAGCGATACATGGCCGAGCTGATTTCAGGATACCTAATCGTCTTACACTGGATCCCCTGCTTCGGATTGTTCTTTTGAAGCATGATCTCCCTTGGAGAAGACTTTAAGAAGAGCCCTTTGGAAAGGAATTGCGGAGGAGTGCAGAATGCTATGACGGATGAGTTTGGTACTCGTGGAACACCATGCTATTAGGGTGGAGGTCATCGCTATTCGGTTTATTGTTGTATAGACTGTTGTATTATTTGATGAGCCACTTTGGTTCAGGTCCTCGTCGCCATGAGGGCAGGTGCCACGAGCGAGGGGCGGGTCGTTCCTGGGCAGGTCGTTCCTGGGCCTTTTATGGATTGTTCAGTTAAGGTTCCTGAAACCTCTCGAAGCCCATTCAAAACATGGTGACCCCAAAGCCCAGTAAGCCCATGTACGGGCCAGCTGAGAGTTGCTCAAGCCAGCCGGTCATTTGCGTCCGAGTTGCTCGTGATCAAACCACCTTCAGCGGCCTCAGCGCCCCGGGTGCATCGGGTGCAGGTGATCTGCTGTCGGCCAGTCGCCATGCGGGAGTCTCCTCCCACTATCCAGCCGCTTGGCCGAAGGAGACCAGTCGCGGTTCGGGACAGACCAAGCAACGAGTGGGAAGCTCATGACCACTGATCAAGGAGGTCTATATCAAGTGCCTCACAAAATGTAGACAAATGAATCTATTCTAACCACCTTTTGTGGAGATTGCTCTAGCATGCTCTATCTATCGGGGCCCACATGAGCCCACTGCAACATCAACCGGATCCAGATTAGAATCACAAAAAGACATGGACGGATTTGAATCGCGATTCGACATTCGGTTTTGAATCTCTTTTTTCCTTGGACACTTGGAGCATGTTGACATTCTCAGATGGATGCTGTAGATGGACATTTGCTTGCAAAACTGTTAGAGAAGGAACATCCTGCACTCGTTTGCATCCAGAGGGGGTGCAAACACCACGGCTTGAAGGGTTGCATCAAGTGTTCGCAGTTGGGCTCGGTTTGTACTGGCTGGAGCTAACATGTTGGGATCGTTAAGTCAGGCTCCCATCCCGCAGTTTTTTTTGCTCGCAGCTTGGACTGCTTTCACGCGTGCCACCTGCCCCGCTTGCCCCTCCCCGCTCCGCGTTGGAAATGCTGGACTCGGGTCTTCTCAGTGTGGCCGCGGCGCGAAAGCCAGAGGACGTCTTCCAGCAAGATTCCGTTCCACCCGAGCCCGAAGTGAAAGGCGCTGCCGAAGACAGCGAAGACGACCAGGACTTCAAGAATCTCAAGACACCTCGACGTTCTTTCTATACCTGGGTCTCACACTTGCCTTCGGGCGTGCCGAAGCCGCCCAGCTTCCGCATGCACGCGCAACATGTGATGTGCTTCAAAGAGTTCCTGGAGGACGTGGAGGAGTGTCCAGGCATGCTAGAGGTCTTAGTAGCCCGAGCTCGCCAAAGACTTCAGCACTAGCTGCTAGGTAGGCATGTTTTGCATTGTTTGAAGGATGCAGATCCGCTGGTTGTCCATAATGTTCAACCCTTTTGTGGTGTCTCCATCGCCTATGTCGATGGCAATAATTTTAAGATGGGTTGGGTCAACCTGAGTCAATCAGCATGTTTGCTCCATCTAGTCTGCCCGCAAACGCTTGGATTTGGACCCACACCCAGAAGTCGCCACTAGCTTTAGATTCCTGCAATTATCAAGCCCTGTTGGCCTACCCTGGGACTCCCATGTATTTCCAGTAGCTGAGGGCCATGCGCCAGAGGCATGGGCGCCAGAGGCGCGCAAAAAGATTCCCATCACAAGGCATTTCAGATTTCACCATTCCTCATTGCAGGGACATCTCAAAGGAAAGTACGGAAAAAGGAGCCGAGCAAGTCTCAAGGTTTGTCTTTGATGAGGGGTCACCAAGGTGAAATTTTGGAATGGAAAAAGCACCCAACTGCAAACATAATTGGTATTTTCCAGACAATTTGGAGCTCAGTTGCTAGATTTTCACGATCTGATGGCACACCTTCTCACTCGTCGCATGAGGGATGCTCCCGCAAACCGTCGCATAGGGTCCCTGGAGCGTCCTCTTGTTACTCGTAGTACGGCCAGGAGCCCCGTTCGTAGCGAACCTTGTTACTACTAGTAAGGCACTTGTTACTAGAAGCAATGCACTTGTTCCTAATAGCTTCTTGTTACGAACGTAGTAAGGCCAGGAGCCCCGTTCGTAGCTTCTTGCTCCTTGGTGGCCAGAAAACACGGAGCCCCTGAATTCGGAGTCCGCCGTGGGCTTCCCCGTTTGAGGCCTCTTGCAGCATGGCGAGGGCTGAAATGGCCGGGCTTCACAGCGGGTCTGTTTGGCTTCAGGATCAGACCTTGGGAGCATCGAACCCGTTCCGGGAGTTGCAGTGGTCCAATGGCTCATTTCGTGACCAGAGCTCATGGAGGCCTCCATCGTTTGGGCGCACGGACCCCTCAGGTGGTGTGTCCATCAGGGTTCTCAAAAACCACGCGGTCACCGTGTCGCTGAGGCTTTGAATCAGGACAAGAACAGGCTGCCAGGGGAGCCATTGACTTGGGGCTTGGGGTGCTTCCTGCAGTCTAGGATTGGCTTTAAAGCTTCACTATGTTTTGGCCTACATGCATAGGAAGGACGGCAGAGTAGATCAGATGCTACAAGAGGTGACATATTCTACTCGTTTGGGCGAGCTTCCTTTCAGGGATCTCATCACGACAAAACCCTTCTGTTCGTCTCCGGAGTAGTTCAGTTCACCAGCTCAATTGCATTCCTGACATTCCTTTCAGCCAAGTCAATACGAGAGCTTTAACCAGGCTGCAGCTGCGTCGCCGCAGTGGCAGCCCTGAGCATGTCGGGGCCCCGTTGCCGCAGTGTTAGGTGCGCTGGGTTTACGTAGTGAAGGTCGGAGGTTCTTGTGGAAGCCGACGAAGACCCACGGAAAGGAAGCGATCGACGAAGAACGGAGATGACCCGAGGAGACGTCAGGCAAGTAGTGGCCAAAGTAGAAGTATGTACAGTAGATAGTAGATGATAGCATGCTTATTGCTCTCAGGGATAAGGATCGAGCGTCGGTATGTTGGGGGAAGATGGGAGAAGTCGCTGGCAAAGCAGCATCTCCCATTTGTTCCTTCTCTAAAAGGAGGAATCTCAAGCAGGGATGTGGTACTCAGTTTGATCCGAGATAAACATGCACTACCTGGCACACCAATGCATTCCAGTTCATCCATAAGTCGAAGAAACCCATGCTCCAAAATGCTTAAACCTCATCAGCGTTGCTGGGATGCCCAAGGTCAGCTGTCTGGAATCTAGGTATGTAACATTTGGGAGGCTAGCCTGAAGAATATGTCGTGAAGATTTCCGTAGCCTTGAAAGGACTGAGGATGAGGAGGGTCACAGTAGACCATTCAACAATGATTTCCATGGGCTCCCTGTCCGCCCTGATCGCGGCGCAACTTCAAGTCGCTGGAGGCTGTCAAAGACGAATCTCTCAACACAGGAACTCCAGGAAGTCCACAATCTGATCATCAGGCTAAGAAAGCATCATTTTGACACGTAACCCAGCTTGATGCCAGTCGAGATCCTTCAAGTTCACAGCTTGTGCAGTGCCTGGGGCTCAGAGAGTTTGATGAGCCTGCAAGATGGTTCTTTGAGTCAAGCCCCCAAGCTTTAGCGGACTCCCTGTAGACAGTTTTGCACAGTTCTCCCAGCTTCGGCATTCCACTGCCAGGCTAGGAATGGGGCCGAAGGGGGGCCGAAGGGGGACCGAAGAGGCTGTACACCGCCGTTGCACCGTTGGATGAGTTGCCGGAGCATACAGCAGAACTAGTTCAACATAGGCCCGGGGCCCTTTTACCACGCTCTTCTCATGTGGCCTTCTTTTTTTTCCTCTTTCTTTGCAGGTGGCCCTTGTGTGCCTTGTCTTCTTTTTGGGTTGTGAGAGCCTCTCTGGACGGTACACCCTCGACGCTTGACGCCCCCAGGTCGGAGAACCTCTCTGGCACTCTGTCGCCTCGCTCAGTGCCTCGGCCGAAGCCCACGGCCCAACGTCCATAGCAAAGCAGCGTGGATGTGTATCCCAAGGGACATTTGCCGATTCAGAAACCAACCGATCAGGAACAGGAAGCTACGACGACCGTATCCCAAGGCTTCCGTGTGCCTTCGGTGTTCTACGTTCTTACAACCATTGTTTTACTAAGGATCTTACACGATTTCATACCAGGTCAAACATTTTCAATATGGTCGAACGAACTCTTTGGGAGTGATGGCCATGATTTCTAAGAATTCACTTAGGTGATGCTCATTGCCCGGAATAGGAACAAGAATAATTGCAAGCTCAGGCTCGAGCTCAGTAGGCCTTGGACAATGGCCTGGTGAAAAAGATCAATCGTCTTCTTCATCCAGATTGCCTGGAGGGTCAAGATAGTTGAGCCATGTCGAGCCACTATTCCTTCAATTTTCTTCAAGACAAATTGATTGTACTCGAACCTAATAGCCATGGCCTCCGACCTAAGAGCGATGGCCCTCCCACCTAAGAGCGATGGCCTGCAACCTAAGAGCGATGGCCTGCAACCTAAGAGCGATGGCCTTCAGCCTAAGAGTGATGTGGTTCAACCCAAGAGCGATGGCCTCCAACCTAAGAGCAATGTCCTCCAACCTAAGAGCGATGGCCTCCTTCCTACTAATAGCAATGGCCTCCAACCTACTAGCGATGGCCTGCAACCTAGTACAAATAGATTATGTTGTTGTTCGGTCCATTTCCAAAGCTTGGAGCCCCCAGCCAATGCTAATGTTGTTTTTGCTTGTTTGCGGCTGTTCAGGATGAGTGATGCCATTTTCTACTGCAAACCTTAGGGTTGGCATCCTCAACAGGGTAGACTTCAACGATATTACATACCTCTATCGTCTATCACCGATATCCTTTATCATCCAACTGTTTTGAGGATTACTACGATCATCAGATTGATTGCCAGTCGCGTGTTTACTCCCTTAATTAAGTATGCGAGTATTTGATTAAGAAGGAGTGGGCTAAACAAAAGGCGCCCTCGGTTCGCTCCCAATCCTCATTTCGCGCGTACTTCATCTCGCCCACGCCGCCTAGTCAGCGATCGTGCCGGGCCGGAGGCGGGGGTGCGGATGAACACAGTATCAAGTGCATCGCTATCTTACTTATTGCTTCTATTTAATTCTTGTTTCTAATAGCTTCTTGTTACTACTAGTAAGGCACTTGTTACTAGTAGCGATGCACTTGTTACTAGTAGCTGACTTTTAGTATATCATTTGATACAGTATCTTATTTTTATATAGTAACGATGGCCTCCAACCTAAGAGCGATGGCCTCCAACCTAATAGAAATGGGCCTCCAACCTACTAGAAACTTAAAGGTAGGAATTTACCCTCGAGGTAGGAACTTAAAGGTGGTACCAACATGTGGGTTAGAAGCGGTGTGCCATGGGGATGGGATCACGGTATATCTTGGAAAACCTTGGATCCCAGTAACATGTAGAAGATTGAATCCCATTGTAAATGTGTAGGTTTGGAAACAACCTACAAAAAAAGTGGTTGTTTCGAAGCTGTGTGCCATTGCGCTTTACAATTCGTGGAGTGTGCCCTGGGGGTGGGTCAAGTTCCTGTGCGATGGGGTAAGTCGCGTGGGGTCGAAGTAGGGGGACCTCCCAGCCACTGGATTTGTTTTGATGTTCTCAGAGGTCTTTGAGGGGTCTCCCTTTTCTAATGCACACCAGTCATACCTTGCCACCATGGATGTTCCTAGGTCGACATCCGCATTTTGACGCGACAACCGAGTCTGATTATGTTTCGTGTTTCGTTTAGTTTTCCTCATTATGTTTCTGTCAATTTATGTGACTTTGCAGCATGAGCCCGGTTTGCCAGTTTCGAGACTTGCACTGCCATCCTGTGATTGCAGCAAGAGGATGGTTGGACCGAATACAGCCTCAAAGCATACCAAAGCATTGATCGACCTAAGTAGCAAGCGTGGGCCTTGGAGTTGGTTGGGGTCCATCCTTCGGGTGGCCACTTCGTCAGGGCTGGCAGTCCCGTCCTACGGGGCTTGAAGGTGGGCGAGATCATGAGCGTGTTGAGGCGGCGGCGCGCTCTGCGCGGGAAGGGCAGTGAATGGTTGCTCTCAGTCAATGAGATGGAGACTCTGGAGATGTGAAAGAGGACCATGGGTGCATGGGAATGGGCCAACTGGTCCTTTTAGGTACATGGGAATTGGTTTTTCGGTGACTTTGAACCGAACCGAACGCGCCGAACTGGGTCTCCGAACTTTGTGCCTTCACCGAACTCACCGGACTCGGACGAGACCCGGACCGGGGGGTGAGACTGAGAAAGACCGTCTGCGTTGTGCGGGACGACAGAACATCAATGCTTGTAGCTTCTTGTTTCTAATAGCTTCTGGTTACTACTAGTAAGGCACTTGTTACTAGTAGCTTCTTGTTGCCATTAGATTGGATGCCATTGCTATTGGGTTCTGAAGCATCAATATCGCCGGATCCACAAGAGCTTTGAACAGCTGGTTCAAGCACGGTTCAGACATGGTTGGCGAAGGACCTCGTGCCAGTTATTTGTCGGTTGACCTTTGCAGTTGTCCAACCCTCAAGCACTCAGGTCTTGTGACTGTCCCGCCACCTGGACCGATTCAAAATTTGAATGCAAGGTCCCAATGTGGGTGGGTGGTCTGTCACACTAGCTCCAAATGGTGTGCATGAAGTACAACTTATATACATATATATATATATAGATATCCACATAAGCTTCTAGTAGCGAACCTTGTTACTAGTAGTAAGGCACTTGTTACTAGAAGCGATGCACTTGTTACTAGTAGCTTCTTGCTTGTTACTAGTAATAATTGAGCCCAATTGCGCTGGGCTGTGTTCGACCCGCCAGGGATCGGAGCCCACCCAGGGAAGGCGGGACTGACCTGGGTGCAGTTGGGTGGAGAGGCTTTGAACCCGTCTGGGACGGATAGAGAAGCTTGGCTGGGTACAGGGAAGCGGCAAGGGATTCATTCAGTCTTGAATGACTTTAGGTTTTAGTTTGTGGGTCTATGATGACCTGGAAAGCCACATCCTTTGACGCAGGAGAGTCGATGGCCTGGTCTGAGACTCAGCCAGATCTTCTGAGACTCAGGGAAGCTGTTTTGCCTTCTTTTCGTGTGAAAGACCCACATGTGAACAAGTTGAACCTTGTGCTGTGTTAATGCTGGCAGGTAGGCGAGATTCTTTGGGCCGTAAGTCTCAGTTCCCGCAGCATTTGAAAAGAAGTCATGGCATAAACCATCTACTTCCCTGTGTAAACTATAAAATGGCAGATGTAAAACAAAGCTCAAAAAATCCATCATTCTGAAGCCATCTTCTTTCAAAGAGGCATAATTTGGCGCCAACTCAGGCCACATCGCCGTGGTGACGAGAGTCTGATTCTGGCGCTTCATGGCTTTCATGGCTTTCCGATGGGACTGGAGGGAGCGTCGTGCTGAAATATCGCTGTTGGTAGGTTCCAATCTGATGGCGCAGCGAGTGCGAATCGCAAGTGAGCATAGGCACATCTCCTGGGCACTGAGCTTTGGGGGCTATAGTATCCGTTGGACTTATTGAGAGTTAGGCCATCAACTACAAACAGTTAGAACCTACTAGCTTCTTGCTACTAGTAGTAATGGCCTCCAACCTACTTGCGGTGGCCTCCACCTGATAGCGTCGTTGCTACTAGTAGCTACTACACTTAGGCCATCAAGTGGAGATGCCAAGGGCCAATGCTCTGCCTCGAAAGATGGACAAGTTTTGACTCATACGGACCCCCCAGATGACACAAATTGGATCCGGAGGATAGCTACTAGCAGTAATGCCCTTGATACTAGCAGCGATGCCCTTGTTACTAGTAGCTTCTTGTTCCTAGTAGCAATGCCCGGAGCTACCAGTAGCGGTTCTTGCTACTCATGCCCTGTATATCTCCGTTTTCATTCTCTTCATCCTGCGACAGAGAGTGTTCTTCAGCCTCTTCCCCTCGTTCGCCGGCACCGTGCCAACGAGGTTCGTCGGAAATCCCTGAGGTCGGCGGCATATCCTCGCCGCTCTCGTTCGGTGTGGGGGCAGAGAAAACGGGACTGGGGAGGTCGGAGATTGAAGACGGTGCGGCGGCGCACAGCGATGTTCCTGGATGTTGTTTGAGTCTGGGTTACCTAGAAGCGATGACCTCCAACCTAAGCCTCCAACCTACTAGTGATGGCCTCCAACCTAGAATGGATATGCTTGAGTCTGGATTACACTGAAGTCTTTGCCAATGCTGCTCCATTTGCTGGCAAAGCAATGCTCTAGTTAGGGAGGAATCTCAGGTCACACGCCAGTTTACCAAATTGATTACTGTAGGAGCTCGATTCTCCAAATCTTTCGCGTCGTTCGTCCTGTCCCGAATCTTCAACTTCCTCAAGGTCGGGTCATTGTAGAATGCGTCCAGGCTTTTTGTGCTCACTCTCCAATCCTCCGTCACTGTCTCCCAAACACCGTCTCCAAAAGCCCGAAAAAATAGGTCAATCAGACTCGAGTGAATGACCCGACAGATTCTTCCCCAACACACCATGGGACTTGCATATTTCCCACTCTGTAAACCTGGATGAAAAGGGATCAATGTAGGCATAGAAAGGAAATACTTTGGAGATCGACCTACTAGCGATAGCTTCCAACCTAAATGGAAAGTAATGCCTCCATATAATTTAAATTAAGCTAGTAGTAACAGGTGCCACGCTAGTAGTAACAAGTGCCTTACTAGTAGTAACAAAAAGCTATTAGAATTAGATTATATTTCATGACGAACCCTCTTTAGTTCAGTCCCGGTTGGGTTCATTGGCCCGTAGGCCAGTCCTCCACCCAGAGGCGCAGTGCGGGAACGGAGTGCACACCGGAGTGGTCCAAAACGGGAGCAGTGCGGGAAATGTTGGTTCTCGAATTCTTTTTTTTCAACTTTATGTTTTTTTTTTTTTTTTAAACTTCTGTTGGGGGGAAGAGGTTTCATTGTTCTTTCTTTTTCTGCACAGCAAATCTCTGAAATAGGGTGTTGATAGGTGAAGGACCTCTGAGATTCTCCCGCAAACAGCCCGGGTTGCTATTCTTTGTTTTGCATCTTCCAGCCTCAGAGGTCGAGCTTTTGGAACATCGACTGTGAGTCGCAAAGCTAAGCCAAGAAGATGGTCTGGAAAAAGGAAGCGTACTACATGGGTCTTTGCAATCAACCGTGTACTTTGCAGTTATAGGATGTTATAGGTGAAATGTAGGCGTGGTCCCTTGCCCAATTGGAATGTTTCCGTGACAACAGGCAATCCACATGGGAGAGCCCAGGGAACAATCACCAACCATATCCAGTCGGTCAAAGGCCCCGACAGCACTTCACCCCTGAAGAAAGAGGTGATCACCTGAAGAATGAATAGATGGACAGCAGATGGACAGGGTATTGATGATTTCCCGAACACGCGCACATGCGCTTCAGTTCGACCTGGACCTGGACCTGATGACGAGGTTCCAAGCTGGGAGAGTGGGATGGTGTGGAGGGAAGCCTCTGGAGCCAAGACAGGTGATTGGCGTGCTTTGGCTCAGTGCGTCAGTGCGTAGTTTTCAAGAGAACCTTCACGGTATCAAGAAGTGACATGAAATTGAATCCATGTCGGCATCATGGAATGGATGCGAGAAATTCTACCGGTGTTGGATTGGAATTGATCATGAAGAAGTCACGTTTTGCCCTCGTGCAGATACCAGCCCTCCACACATCATCGTGCTTCTGTCGTTCAACAAAACATTTGGTACAGGACCTGAAAGGAAAAACTGATCACATGGTACATAGAGATACTAATGGTATCCGTGTACTGTCCGTCTGTCCCGAATCGGTGCACCGAGACCTCGGTCTTTGCTCCGACCCCACGACCGAGACGAAGATAGGCGAGGCTGGCAGCGATGTTTGCCGCGGTGTCCGCCGAAGAGGAGGCGGAGGCGACTTGCGGGTGGAGCAAGTTTCTTCAGAAAACACGGAAAAACAGGTCTCAAGAAGAAAGAGGAAACAACAATATATATATATATATACGCACAAATCAACAAAGGTCTAGAAAACAAAAAAAGGAGAAAAGTACAGGAAACACAGACACGAAGAGCTAATGAAACAAAACATATAATTGATGGGAGATGTTTCGGAGATCCAACAGTTGCAATGGGAGTTCTGAGATCAAACCACTAGCTGCATTTGGCTAGTTTCCGAGTCTTGTCAAGTCTATCAGTCTATTTCAATCAGGGGACCTGCAGCATTCAAAAACGGAGCTCAGCTGCAAACTTCATTGAACCACACACACACATGAGATGCAACATACCCCATGGTTCATCAATACTTAATGGCCCCCAATGTACAGGTGTATATGGATCAAAACTCCACTTTGCCTAATCTTCAGAAATCAGTCGTTCACATTCGGAGAATCTGCCAGACTATCTGCCAGGTTTGGGGGAAACAAATTCTTTTCTCCTCAATTCCAGGGCTCCAACTACCTTCTGAGCTTTGCTATTTGGGTGGATTTGAATGGTCTAAATGCTACCTAGGGCCCAATTGGAAAAGGGCACCCCTTAGAACTGTAAATGTCCGGATGGACATGTGTACAAGAGTGTGGGGTTCTCAATCCCTACCATGGCGGGCTTTCGTCCCCTCCCTTCTCAGGTATATCTGAAAATGTATTCCAACTCCCAGCTTTCAGCAATGTTCTCCTCCAGGTGGACATTTTAAAGCTGGGTGGTGTGAACCCTGATGGCCGTGCCCAGCCGGTCCGGCCGTGACGGCTGGTCGCTGTTTGGCTGTTGAGAGGAAATGTCAGGGATGAGAAGGATCTGATTTGTCTTTGGGGATCCAATTCACCTCAAATTTGAGATCCAATTCACCCTTTTTTGTGATCTAATTCGTTTGAATCTGTGTGTTCCAGCAACGTTTCCCTACCCACTGTCCACGCTTTTTTTGAGGTACACGGCCCCTGTCTCCACGCGTGCCGGGGAGTGATTGGTCTCTCGGCGGAGTGTGGGGTGCTTGCAGGGCCATATGGAGAGATACCAACAGACCATTTAGCAAAAAATCTATTAGAAACAAGAAGCTACTAGGAACAAGTGCATCGCTACTAGTAACAAGTGCCTTACTAGTAGGAACAAGGTTCGCTAGTAGAAACAAGTGCATCGCTACTACTCTTCTATGTCTCCTACTAGCAATGGCTTTTATCAGGAACTATGCATCTCAGACCCCCCACAACCGGTTTTAGCCAACGCCACGAACCGCCACTTAGGATTTAAGCCAAGAGTCTGAGGATTTTTTAACGCTTTTCGAGTGTTCTTGTCCGGGATGGGGCAATGGTTGAGACGGCTCACCACTTACTGCGAGGTTTCCTTTTGCAAGGTTTTTTGGCAAACAACTGGCAAGGTGAGGAACAGTGTGGGGGTTCCAACAGGAGAAGTCCTTACATGGATATAAGATCAGTACCCTTCAAGTCTCTTCCTACAGATGTGTTCTTTTGGTTTTCTCGTTTGTGGGACATTTCTGCCTGGACCTTTCAGACGGCGTCTACTTCGGGCCGACTGCGCGCCTCTTCAGTCATGAAACGACATCTCTTCAGTCATGAAGTTCACTGAAGATCTTGGTGTTTCATCTTCCTCAGAAAAAAATAAAGAAGAAGCTACTAGGGGGAGGCCATCGCCATTAGGTTGGAGGCCATCACTACTAGTAGCAAGAACGCTACTTGTAGCTCCTGGCCATACTACTAGTAACCAGAAGCTACTAGTTTCACCGGCCAGGCAGGAAGGGCTTTCCACACGGATGGCCGAGAGGGGTGGGCTGGGCCACCGAGGGGGGCCGAAGGGCTGCAGGGGGATTGGAGCTGAAGGGCTACTAGTAGCGTCCGTGCTCCGTTCGTAGCGATGCCCTTTGTTACTAGTAGCTTCTTGTTACTAGTAGTAAGGTGCCTTGTTACTTGTATAGTTTCTTGTTATATTTGTTTTTGTGTCCTTCTCTTGCAGTTTGCATACCGGCTGCCTGGACGCAGGTCACACTTGGGGTGAGCACACATTTCATGGTTGAAGCTGGCGATAACTAGGAGCAAGGATGCTACTAGGGGCTCCTGGCATCGCTACTAGGAGCAAGAAGCTATTAGAACCAATAAATAATCACCTCCTTTTGGGTTTGACAATTTTCAAGCACTCTGGAAGTGGCCATGTGTCTTCAAACTAGAGTTTGAAGCCAGACTCCGAGACTGTTTCATACTAGATATCCCGGTCCATGTTGGAGGCGGTTGGAGGCCATCGCTCTTAGGTTGGAGGCCATCGCCCTTACGCTGGGAGGCCATCGCTCTTAGGTTGGAGGCCATCGCTTTTAGGTTGAAGGTCATCGTTATTAGGTTGGAGGCCATCGATCGCTCTTAGGTTGGAGGCCATCGCTCTTAGGTTAGTAACGGTTAGTAGGTTGGAGGCCATCGCGTTTCGGTCTGAGGCCATCGCTCTTTGGTTGAAGGCCATCGTTATTAGGTTAGAGGCCATCGCTCTTGGGTTGAAGGCCATCGTTATTAGGTTAGAGGCCATCGCTCTTAGGTTGGAGGCCATCGCTTGTAGGTTGGAGGCCATCGCTCTTAGGTTGGAGGCCATCGCTCTTAGGTTGAAGGCCTTTGTTATTAGGTTGGAGGCCATCGCTCTTAGGTTGAGGGCCATCGCTCTTAGATATCCCAGTCCATGTTTCCCACATGTTCGACCCGAGGTCGCGGCTCTTCCCCACGCACCTGGCGAAGTCAGCGCCTGCCTCGGCTTCTCGAGCACCTGCAGGTGGGGAGGGTTTCGGTCATGACATGAAACTTTCAAAACGCATCCAAGTCATGACAAGTCTTCAAGAAGTGTCCCCAAAACCCAACCTGGCTAAAACTGCATGACCGTGCCCAACATGCGATTGGGATCTCATAGGATCTCATAATAGGATCTCTTTTGGATTGTGTGGAGAGAATTCGGCGAGTCAGCCACAAAAGGTACACGGCCATGGGCCTTCATCAATTCTGTGGAACGTTGGCAATGAAAGACGTTTCACCCTTCTCGACCAGACACGGCTGGGTCACTAGGGTCACTACCATCGGCGTTCCAATCGGCGTTCATCCTTTGTCAGGGATGAAGCCGGGGGGCGTCTTTGTGCCAGGCCGGGACTCAAGCAGTTGGAACTGGGGTTGGGAAGCACGTCTGAAAGTCGGTGTTCAGAAATTTTGAAGTGAGAATCGGTGAGATCTCCTGCATACTCTAGGAGTGAAGAATAGACAGAATAGCAGGTGCCATGTATCCAGCACACCTCATTCGATTTGGAAGCCATTCTAAACCTACAGACCCTTTGATGAGCGATTTTGGAGTCCACAGACACATGGTTATAAAAATTGTTATAATCTTGTTTTTGCTCTTTTTCTATTTCATTTGCTAATTCATCTGACCCACTGACCCGCATCCAACAACTCGAGGCCATGTCCTGCTTCTAGAACCTAAATCCAAACAAAGGTGAGCCCATCCGTCGGTTAGTCTGCGATGAGGTGTGGAATGCCAAAGACCTTCCATTTTGGGAAGAGTGCAAGTGGGATGAAGTGGGACATGCTATTTCTTTTCTGGAACAGACTCCGTCGACTGTAACCATGAAGGCCGATGTTCTCCATGGTGAATTCCGGAACATAGACCAGTCTACCCCTTCGGCCATCTACCAAGGACGCTGCTAGGGGCTCCGAACGGAGCAAGGACGCTACTAGGAACAAAGGACATCGCTACGAACGGAGCAAGGATGCTACCAGTGGCGACCAGTCCACCCACCCGAATGGTTCACTTCACCTGAAGCCGCCCCACCGTAACTGCTGTTGAAACACCCTGTGAAACTGCTGTGCGGCCAAGGTGGAAGTCCCAAGGCCAAAGCTAAGGCACCGCAGGTGGGCTATGGTGGACCTCTGTCCGACTGGGCCCTGGCCAGATCTGTTTCTGCAAGCGAAGAGGGAGTTTCCGAAGTGGGGATGGTGCTGCGTCCAGGATATGATAGGATTGTGCTCATGAGCACAGAGCCGATGTCCACTATGAGCCTTGTGAGCCTGAAAACAGTCGATTTCTTTCAGACCAAGGTTGTGGTGTGAAACATATGATCAACATCGGAAAGACCATTTTTCATTGTCCATTCTTCAAATTCACTAGGAAAGACAATGGCAACAAGAGCCAACGGAAGAGAAACAGAAGAGACGACTCCCCTTAGTCCATCAGGCGCCAAGCTTGGCCGCGGAGGCACCGTCGAGGTGCCGGAAAACGACTGGCTGAGATATATTCACAGGAGGGAACACCTGATGTGTGCTTCACGAAGATATTGAATTTCAATGTTGCGCAAACGGGGAATCCACAGCAGGCAGCCCGGCAGCTTTTGGCGATGCACCCCCCGCAAGCCAGATACAGAGTCGATTGAAGCATTAGCTTCCACATGCTGGATAGGTTCCACATGTAGATAGCTTCAGTGAGTTTTTTTTTTGGTCTTACAAGTTGTTTAGTTTTGTCTTACTCGCAATTTGCAAGCATAATTGTTGGAATTACTTTTCGACTCCCTTGAACTTGTACATATTCAAGGGGCTCGAAACATAGAATTAGTCACAATAAACCGTACAATGTGCTTGATCGAGACAACACTTGGAGATGAACGCAACATGAAGTGGACGAATAACATGAACGACGTATCTATAATCACTCTATATACTCTTGGACCCTCTTACAACTTGTTTAGCTATGTCTTACTTGCAACTTGTAAGCATCGTTGGATATATTTTTCGACCCCCTTGAAATAGTACATTTTTCAGTGGGTCCCAATTACATCCAATAATGACTGCGAATTGGATCAAAGTGATTCAGATCCGATTCTCTGAACGTTCTTGGTGGACTCTGACGCTTCTTGTGGCTTTGTCCTTTCCAGAAGCTACCTGCAGTATACCCACTGGAACGAACCATGGGGGGAGCAGTGATTCTTGGCAGCTGCTTCTGCTCCACGTCCCGCGTTCCGCGCGTGTTCTTCCCCCCCTGCCCGGCGGTGCTTCGCCATGCCGGTCACTGTGGGGGAACCATTTCAGCCTGCGCGACGTGGCCGCAACAAGCGACGAAGCCAACCGGGGGGTGGATGTCACATCGGGTGTGGGGGTGCGGTGACGTCGGGGAGCTCGACGGATCTGTTGGACTTTCATCTCCCACGGAGGGTGAACTGGGGCCGGGAAATATGTTCACCTCGGGTGAACTGGGCCATGCCGCTTGAGGTTAAAAAAGTTCTGCAAAGATCAGCCATTGAGCCTGGACGAGGCGGAAGAATTTGGGCGGCTCTAAGCGACGGTTTGGGCTCTGCTCGAGCCGAGAGCTTCTGCAAGTCTGCAAGCTTTTGTGGCTTCTCAAATGGGGTGTTTTACGGGTTTCTGGCAGTTGCGGACATCAGATGGTTCATGGACCCCTTTCACCTCTTTTCCAGGGCTCTTAATACTCTCGAACAATACAGCTCAAGATAGCTGAAGATCTGGTCGAAAGAAACAAAAGCGTGGCTCTTTGTTTGGCGTCTTTTTCGGCTACAAGGCCCAAGGGGGCAATATCTGGAAAAAGTTACATATAGTTATTTTGGTGCCCTGTCACCAGGGGGCCCTCGGCCTTCAGGAAAGGCCGCAGACTATGGCTCTCAACTCCTTTACAAGAGACCGCCTCGCATGTCAGGTCTTGGAATTGAAATCCCTCTTGGAATCAAAGGGTACCTTGGACTACACTCGCGCCAAGTGCAAGGACCCCCTCTCGCGCGCGGCCGCCGAGTGTGAGCGCTGATGTTTTGCGCATGAAAGCCCCGTCCCTGGTTGCTGGAGCCCGCTTTTGGTTTTTTGGATCTCCGGATACGGATAGTCACGTTTGAAGAACAATCAACCATTCTGAGAGCCTGGCTTAGAACCCACGTTCTCGCGAGGATAGCAAGGGTAAAGCCACAGGGCCCTTCAGCGCCAGTGCGGCGAATGCCAAGGGGGACCACACAGGCTCAAGCATGTGCCTTGGAGTCCGTTCTGTGCGTGGGGTGGCCGGTTGAGGTATGGTCAGTAATCACTTTAGGGGAGCTCCACATTTGAGCTGGAACGCTCAACCATATACTAGACCCCTTTCGGTGGAATGTCGCGGGTGCTTTTTGAAGGGGAAAGCATCTGAACATAGATGGGCTTGATGCTCGGTTTCGGATGCTTTGACGCTTTGATGCTTGGTTTCGGCACCCACGGGGCGAAACACACGTACCCAGCGATGACAACGGATGACAACCATAAACCCTAAACTCTTTTCCAACCTAGTAGCGATGGCTTCCAAAACCCTTTTGGTTGGAAGTTTGGGTAGATCTTTTCGGGGACGACTGAGTGATTCCATTTTTGTCTTCATTTTTCTCCGTCCCTACGACTGAGTTGGACTCCGACTGATTTCTGTGTGCGCAGCGGAAAGCATTCATCTGAGGTTTGGGAGTTGGCTGCGTGACTCGGATGGAGAACACGGTTTGCCTTCTTTTTTGTTGCGACGAGACCATTTTTGCGACTTTTTATTTTTTGCGACTTGGTTTTTTCCCTAAAGGATGGCACAAGGAGGGCTTAGTTTGCTTTGCCGTGTATGCTTTGCCTATGCTTTGTGGAAGAAAACACCAGGCAGGACGTACAGGAACATTTAGAGACTATCTCATGCGCTCATAGGTTTTGTGTCTTGTTGTTCAAGGTGACAACTGTATCATTGCCTATGGCATTTGGCTCACTGATCCAGATGGAGCTGGCGGGGATGATGCTGTGGCATGCTTGAAGCTCGGCTCACTTTCTCGATCTGTCCTCAGGAATTGTGATGATTTGACTAGTCACAAACTTGAACCCACTAAAATTAACCCTCAACTTGTAGCAGTATCTAGCGGTGGCTTGCCAATTGCCACATCGATAATATCCTGTTCCAAGAACGGAATGATTCCAATTCTTGCCGTAACACAGCAAGAGCTGGGCATCTTGAGGAACTATATTAACCTAGTAGCAATGGCATCCAACCTACTACTGTAGCGATGGCCTCCACCATAGCAGCGATGGCTTCCACCCCAGTAGTGATGCCTCCAATGGCCTCCAGACTACTAGCGATGGCCTCCAACCTAGTAGTGATGGCCTCCAACCCAGTAGCG